TCAATCACTGAACTTTACATGAACATACTGTATGTACCAATGTATAAATAAAGAGGAAGTTACCAGGAGGCAGCCTGTTCCTCCTTAGGGCTCATGTATACTGCAGCTGATAAACTGACGTTCAGGAGCTTTTTTTTGCGTTTTTTTCGGCAGCCCTGAACTCTCCCTAATGTTTTCCTATGTGTCCATGTACACTATGTCGTTTACAGGCATTTACAGGCAGATGAGTTTACAGTTGTTTTTTGAACGCACCAAACTTGCATTCAGGAGTAGATTTTACCAGCGTTTCAAATGCCAAATGCTTGTAAACGCATGTAAACGCTTGTAAACACAGTCAACCGTGTTTATAAGCGTTTGCGTTTAGATGCGTTTTTTAACTGTTCCATGTCCAGATGCTGTCCAGAGCCTTTTTTCATCATCAGAAATGCATGCAAAGCATTTTCCAGGTACTCAAATGTACCTAGTACACCATTGCAGTCAGTTCCAGGTTTTGCGTGAAGGAAAAAATGGTAGACGTGCCACATTATGCTCATGATGGGATCCATAGTGAATACAACCAGAAAAGACAGGTAATCTCGAGACATACTGCTCTCTTTGCTTCTGCTCTCTCTATTTCTCTCAAAATGTCTGAAATAGTTAATTTTTTACTGTTTTTCAGTGCACTCTGGGCATTTGGGAAGGTCTCCTGAGGTTATCTTTTAAAAAACGCTTCTAAACGCAAATGCACATAAACGCGGTATGCAAACGCGGCTAAACTAACGTTTTTTAACTTACGTTTTCCAGCTTTCAGTTTTCATCGTTCAGAAGAGTTTTCCAAATGTCCCGTGTACATGAGCCCTTAAAGTTGTACAACAGACCAGAAGTTAAACATTACTGAAGACAGCTGAAAAACGCTAGTGGGTCTTTTACAAAGCAACAATGGCAAACACCAGGATCAATGTAAAGGTGCACAAGTGCAGGGCAATATACAAAGCATCTTCGGTTCTTATTATGTATACTATATTTACAATGCACAGTACATTTTCTAATGTTCTGTATTCCAGGTGTGATTATAAATATCTGTTCCTATTCTGTATATGTATATATGCTGCACAGTACCATTCTCCTACTGTGTATGCTGAATGAGATTCCTAGTATCTGTTTATATTCACTATGTATGACTTTTGCATAGCACTAATCTTTTGTACTGTATATAAGCTGCAATTCTCAATATATATTTAAATTCATACTGTATATGGACCATGACTGGTTCTGTTCTGTATACCAGATGTAAATCTAATTATGTGTTTTTGTTTTGTAGGTTTTGCTACTGTACAGTGCAACCTATTTTGCTATGTGTACCTGGTGTAAAACACATTTATAAAACAGTGAATTTGACAATTAGCTTTCAATCTCTGCAGGTAAATCTTCCAGGTACATGTGTTTTAAATAAAAGTGGTTGATCTGCTACCAATAAATGAATAAATGTTTGATAAAAGTCACATTTACTGCCTTGACTAGTTGAGGACACTGAACTTACTACACATGCCCAAAAATCATCACAGTACTCATGCGGGGAGATTTACTAAAACTGGTGCACAGAATATCTGGTGTAACTGTAGGCTTTAATGTCATAGCTTAATTAAACACGATGAAGTTAGAAGATGATTGGTTGCTATGCAGACGAGCTACACCAGATTCTCTGTGCACCAGTTTTAGTAAATCCCCCCCCCCCATGATGTACTGTATATTGCACATTCAGCCCTTCTGCTCCCCCCACCACACACACATACACACAGAATTTCCAGCACTTCCCAGCTCTTGAAAAAAAAGCTAAGAGTTGCTGTGTAAATACAGCAGCTCTAGCAGCTACTGCTGTAAAAAAACAACTGTTTGACTCACTGTTTATTTATTTATTCCATTTTGTAAACAACTTTTCAATGCTTAGTTCCCTGGTCTCCTCCTCCCATGCCCATCTCCAGGACTTCTCCAGGGCTTCCCCCATCCTCTGGAACTCCCTACCCCAATCCACCAGACTATCACCTACCCTCCTCTCCTTTAGGCGCACCCTGAAAACCCATCTCTTCAGGGAAGCCTACCCCGCCCTCAGCTAATTGCCGATCTCCTCCACTCTTCCTACCACTCCATCCCCCACAGCCACTTCCTCCTGTACCACTATCCCCTCCCTCCTTGATTGTAAGCTCCAAGGAGCAGGGCCCTCAAACCCCTTGTGTATCAAATTATATTGTTACTGTACTGTCTCGCGTACTGTCTCCCATTGTAATGTACAGCGCTGAGCAAACTGTTGGCGCTATATAAATACTGTAAAATAATAATAATAATGCTTTGTACCACAATTCACAATTGTAATATGACTTTAAACAGGAAAAATTGCATAATAAAATGTATATTTTTATCTACAGCAACTCTATTTAACTCTATTAAAACTAAAACTGATCAAAAAGAAAGAGAGCTTTTTTTAAGTTTTGCTACTTTTCTGGCTAAGGATTGCAATTAACGTACATAATTTTTGTAAGACAATATCATGAAATAAAAGCTTTGTTTGTCCTAATATATATATATATATATATATATATATATATATATATATATACACATACACTCAGTATATTATGTTACTATCTTGTGTAATTACAAATTTACTGCTGAAAAAACAAAAAACATGGCAGAATATAATAATGGCCCTGGTTTATGGGGGGAAGGTACAGGTGTGAGACCTGAAGTGGTTAAAAATATGCCCTTTGTATTCGCAATGATTCTCAGCATAAGTTTCTCAAAATTTGGGAACCGTGGCTGAGGTACACTTTTCCCACCCTTCCCACTTTGGCCTACTCTGACGGGCAGTCCCAGCGCTCCCCAGTCCCTGTTTCTGTTTCTCTCTTCTTACTCTGGTTTCTGTGAGACTTTTTTTTTAATCGCTTCTTCTCTCGCCCTGTCTCCCCCTTTCTTCTAGTTCACGCTCTTCTCCACCTGGTTTTGTTTGAGCTGCAGGCGGCGAGCTCACGTGTGCCTGGATGGACCCTGAGGGCACCCCGTTGTTGCAGAAGGGACCTTCCCAGTCGCCTATTTCCTGTGGTTGTAAAGTATAATGCATTATTACTGTGGTGTCAGTTCACACCTGACATTTGCCTTTGTTTTGCTGTTTTCAGTTTATCTATATGCTTACTTTCACGATACGTGCCATTGCAAGCCCCTGCGTAGGCGAACTTGATGTTTATATGTTTTTCATGTTAAAATTCAATAAAAATCATTCAAATAGAAAAATATGCCCTTTGTATATGTATATGTTGCTTTTTGTGTGTTTGTTTGTATAGTCACTGTGTGTATCATTTCTCTCACTTTACATACAGTACCAGATCTAATAAGCGGTATCTGTATTTATTATGTAGATATAGCTGATGCACAATACCATTTCTATTGTTCTGATTACTAGGTATAACTCTTATTATCTCTTCTTAATATAACGTTCCTTGTTCTATTTGCTGGGTGTGATTCCCAGTAACTGTTTTCATTCTTATGTATAATTAATGAACAGTAACAGTCTTTGTGTTTATTCTATATGTATAGATATTGGTATACTGGTGATTTGACACTTCTTCAGTATGCCAGGTTTCATTATCACAATTTTTACTAATTCTGAATATATGGAAACTTCTCTGGACCATTTTTGGTTGATCCTACAAAGATATTCTTCTAAGCGCTACTATAGTAATAAGTTAAAGTGTTACTAAACCCACACCAGTAAAATCAGTCTGTATATGCAGTACAACATGCTTGTTATACTCACTGTGGAATCTAAGGGGTTAATCCTCTGCATTGTGTAAAACGACTGTTTGATCCTTTCTTCTCTGCCCTTCCTCTTGTTGAAATGACCACCTGATACAGACTGAATCCGTAGTCACATGCACATGCTCAGTTTGGTGTGCATTACTAGAGAGGTTTTTTTTTTCTTGGGAAAGTGCATGTAATTAGCACAGGGCCAATCAGCACTGTCAAGACAGAGGATCAGGGGTTTCACATCGTCCTAGAGCAGAAAGAAAACACCTTGCACAAGCTTTAACCAGTGCTCAGCTGAAGGCACAAGACTGCTCTAACTGCTGATGAGAAAAAGTATTTAGCAGTTTATATTTATTAAAATAATTGCACTTCCATGTTGTGTGTACTATAGGAGACCAGATAGAGTGAATGCAGGATCCGGGGTTTAGTATCACTTGTGGAAATGTAGAAAAATCTCTATAGTTGCAGATTTCATTCGATGCTTGTGAAAGGGTACATCCAAAAAGGACTCAATCCTGGGAATTAACTAAGCTTCCATTCTCATTGTAATGGCACAGGAAACTGTCAGAAGTGGTGTGCGCCATGTCACCAGAGCAGATAGACCTGTTTCACACCTTTCTGTTTCAGGTCTATCTGCACCACGTTCTCCAATTTATTTTTCAGAATGAAACAGAAACTAGTGCAGGTTTGCACCTGATTACCAGGCAGAATATGGCAATTAATTATATAGAAAACTGCAGCAGATTCGCACCAGGTGTGACCTTGTAATCCGGGATTTGAGTTTTCTCTACCCATGCACTGATCATACAGCACATTCAGAGATTGCACAGGGTTAACACCCTTCTTCTCTTTCCACTCTTTGCTGAGGATGGCAGAGGGGACAAGCAGAGAGATCGAAGCTTGCAGCATCAGCTCTCAGTTCTCTTTCCTGTGTGCCTGTCACAACCACAGAACAGAGAACTGATCGCTCCTAAATAACAAAGGTGCTTGAAGAATCTTCTCCATGTTTAAAGTTTAGAAGAGTTTTGCAAACATTGTGCTTTCCCAACTTTTTGGTAATAGCAAAAGTAGGGTGAGTACTGAAAATGAGCAGGTCATGCGTTACCTGTACTGCCACATTACACAGGTTATTGCAGTTTACTTATTATGGTGCTAACATGATTGTGGCCTGATTAGCCATAAAGCACCAGAAAACAATGGATTCCTTCCTGGGTAGCAGTGGTGGGCACAGGTGGGTAGCACTGCTGGGCACAGGTGGGTGGCACTGCTGGGCACTGGTGGGTGGCACAGGTGGGTGGCACTGATAAACACTGGTGGGTGGTACTGGTGGGCACAGGTGGGTGGCACTGCTGGGCGCAGGTGGGTGGAACTGGTGGGTGGCACTGCTGGGCACAGGTGGGCAGAGCTGGTGGGTGGCACTGCTGGGCACTGGTCATCAGGGCACTGGTCATCAGGGCACTGATGATCGGTGCCGATCCCTGCTCTGACAACTGCCGGTTCTCGGCAGTACTTTACTCACGCTTTGACAGCGAGAGGAAAGTGCAGCTGAGAACCGGCAATTGCATTTCCCTGTGATCAGTGTGTCATTGGACATGGCTAATCACGTGGTAAAAGGCCGCTGTGATTGGGCTTTTACCACATCACGTGATCGCTGAGATCATCACAACGATCACGGAGATTGCCGGGGGCGCACCCCTGGGGGGCGCGCAGGAGAGCGTGTTCTGGGAGGACGTCATACGACGCCCTCCCAGAACTGGCCGGCCGCAGTGTAACCGTCATTCGGCTATCTGCGGTCGGCAACTGGTTAAAGGTTGCATTTGGGCATTGCATACTATTTTTTTCTTGTGGTCTCTTTTTTTCTTTGTATGTAAACATGACACAGTGCTGCTTTGTGCCTTCCAAATGCTGGGTGATATTTTTTGCATCTGATCTTGTTTGTATGTATGGGTGCTGTGCAGTAGCACTTCTCTTGTTTTATATGCTGGGAGAAATTCTCAGTATCTGTTCTTATTCAGTATGTATTCCACCTGCACGATAACACTTCTCTCATTTTGTATGCTGGTGTAATTCCCAGCAGGCCTGGACTGGCCATAGGGGAACACTGGGCTTAAAATGACCGGGCCACACAGCGAGAGCTAAGGGCTAACACAGGCCGCAACTGCCGCTCACCTCCCACTGTGCGGCAATTCCTAAAGCAGAGTGTTAAATCTAAATTATGATTCGGCACTTATATCGATGGCAAGCTTGCAAAAATATTTGGTTTTTATGATTAGTCATAATTAATATTAATATGTGTGAATGGTCTTTGACAAATGGTAGTATTTACTATTCTTCAATTATAGCTGAGACCAAAAGATATACAAGTTAAGCTGAGATAGTATATACCAGCTGAAGACTGAGTGAGTATACTATATTTAGGCATAAAGTATCTGGTAGTTATGTCAAGGTTATTAGAAGTGACTTACTATTACATTATGTATTTTAATAGTATATGTGTGTATTTAGTATACGTCTCTAACATTGATACATATATAGTTTAGTGATTATACATTGATATGTTCTTAAGCTATACTATTCTTTTAAATATATAGTTGAGGGTTCATCAGCATACATATGTTCCTGTCCATCAAACATCATATGTATAGCATCCTTTCCTTATATGAAATGGCTTTGCTAAGCAGTAATAATTTCCATAGAAGGTATTAAGATCACTAACTATGACGTACATTTGCCTCATAAAAGACCATGAGACATCGGACAAGGAGTCTCTCACTCTCACATGCTACACGACACTCTTTCATACATAACACACACATGGCTGTTCATAAGAACTTTCTGAGATGCTGGAACAGGTGCTGCAAGACAAGAGATCATCATTAACGTCACTTCCGTCTTCTCTCTCAGACTCTGTGTTGGACAAGGACATGAGAATCGCACATGGCAAGGACAGCCATGACAGATAATGGTGACTCTTTCTTTAAACGTTTGCTTGTCATTTTTACAGTAGTTTTATCTACCTGGAACTGTTCATAATACGCTTTACATTGTCTATTTTACACCATTGTGTGATAGAATAAAATCACACTTCATTTTTTATTTCAATGGCTCTTTCATTCATAATCGCCTCAAGACACTGGAAGAAGTATTATATGTGTCTAAAAATCCAACATTTTGGTGAGCCAGCCACCGCCAAAGTTTTTTCTACGGTTTTTTCCCATACCTTGCTAAGGGGGAAAAACGCACTATTCTGTGATTGTCAAGTCTTGGGAAAAACACGGTGAAAAGAACCTAGAAGAAAAGGCGATTAAACAAGACGTGGACGAGCGGTCCAGTGACTGAGCCGGGTCAAACGAGAAAATCTTCTGATTACGGTGAGTAACAATTATGGAATTTATTGATGACTTAGTTATTGAAAGCAAGCTAGAGTTTAAAGATGTTTCTTTATATCCCGAAGACAGTCAGCTATGGCACTATATGTATAATGAATGTTTACAGGCCAATATTCAGATAGATAAATCTAGATTTACTGTGCACAGACAGCGTAAAAAAGATATCTAACATCTTAAATTTAGTAAGAATATTCAACAAAATGATTTTGAATGTTGATTTACCTGTTAAAAAAGCTTGTACATTAAAACAGACAGAATGTAACACTGTACAGAATACAGAAAAGCATGAAAATTTGTCTCAAGATGCTCTTAGTTGCCCAAACTGTGACGTTTTTTGTAATTACATAGAGAATCTTGAGGAACAAATTGACTCAAAGACAAATCTTTTGTTAAGACTGCAGAATGACAGTAAACAGGTTGCCATGATAAAACACAGATGACAGAGTGATTCCAAATCAGAGCCACGGCTGTCCGATATCTCTGAAAGTTCGGATATTGACTCTGATGACGAAACACAAATTAAACATAAAGAATTGTTATGTAAAAACTGCAAAACTTAAGTTGCAAATACATAATCAATTAATGAAAGTTTTAAAAGACATCCCTGCTTATGATCCAGATAAAGATATCTACAGCAACATGGAAATATATGAAATGCATGTCAAATGCCATCAGATTTCAGATCATGACATAAATTATTTTATTTCCGTTGTGGCTGCCAATTAAATTTATGTCTTGAATTAAAAATTCTGTTATTAACGATAAAGATCAGAAAAAACATAATGACGCGACAGACAGACTGCGACAATTGCTGTTATGTTCAACAGGTGAAGACGTACCTTTTGTAGAAATGCTAGACTTACTTCAGACTACTGCTGACGAAGACCCTTTTGAGTTTAAAAATAAGTTTTCCAAAGCATATAAAATTATATTTGGAGTAGAAAATGAGGAAGACTCAGCTATGATCAAAGCTTTTGTAAAGAAATTCACGTATTTAGACCCAGTAACCATAGTCATAGCAGAGGAAAAACAAAAATTTGAATGACATAGTAAGTTTCATTGACAAAATCCGGAGAAAATTGAAAAACAGCAATCTCACTTATGAGATAGCTGTGCTTCAAAGTGACAACAACAGTCAGACTACAGTTATGCCAGGAACTACAGGTCCCAGTAAGAATGACAACGACAGATGCAAGCAAGTGAGCCATAATGAGTATACCACATGCTTTCACTATCATAAACAAGGTCATATCAGACGGCATTGTTGGAAGTTTAAATTTGACTCACAATAAAGAAAATGGAAATAAAAAGTGAAAAAGCAGCTTTTGTACAACCTGCTGTGTTGTGTAATGATAAAAGTTTAACTGAATTGCCCTATGCCTCATCAGTTAAACAAATTCATACTTTGACTAGAAACAACTGTTCTGACAACAGGGTGAGAAGGGCTGTCACTGACAGAAATGGTTTATTACCAGTTCCAAAAAATAGAATCACGTCCACATTCATCCCCGATATCGTTAGAATTTGTCGCTCCAATTGTATTGGATGACAATGGAAGACCATTTCTACATGGATTCCTAAATGGTAAAAAGATTACATTTTTGATTGACAGCGGATCTGAGATTAGTCTTACCAGAGAAAACGTACCTGTGAAACCAAATTCCCCATGTGTAAAATAAAAGGTTTTAATAATACAGGTCATCCCACTGCTAGACAGGTACCTAATGTAACATTTGAAGTACCTGGGCTAGTGAAAACTAACATTGATATTTGGTATAGTAATGCCACCGAGAATATTCTTGGCATTGATTTTATCAATAAGCAAAAGTGGATTATTGATATTATGACCAAAGTTATTTGGAGGAATCCATCTAGGCCCAAATCAATGTTAGTGGATCCTTCTATATACAGTGATGTTGGTTTCAACTCTAAAATGTCTACAGCACAAAAATGGCCTGATACTGATGGTAATTGTGCTTTAAAAGAATTGGTACAACGTTTTCCAAGTTTGTGGTCAAAATTTAAAAATGACATAGGAACTTTGAAAGATACAGAATTGAATATTGAGGGTAAGGATCCCATACCCCTTAATCAATATGAGTTACCACAAGAATCAATAGGACCACTTTCTGCCATTATTCAAGAGTTTGTACAACTTGGAATTTTAAAGAAAACACAATCAGTGGTAAATAACTGTATTTGGCCTATCAAAAATGCTGACAATTCATATTCTTTGTCAGTTGATTTCAGGACACTGAATAAACATATCACAAATAACAAAGCAGTTGTTCCTGATCATTCTAATATCAAGTTACATTTAAAGGCCGAATCCAAAGTGTTTTCTGTTTTGGAAATCGATAACAATCATTTTTCGATCCCCTTAGCTAAAAGTTGTCAATACAAGCTAGCTTTTAAGTTTCAGAAAGAGACCTATGCATTCACTCGATTAGTAGCTGGTTTAGACATCAGTGATGGTGTAGTCCATGATTCCATAGCAAAAATTCTATCACAATTTTCAAGGCCAGAATGCATTTTTCAGCATGTAAATACAATTATGCTAAGTACGCAGACTGTTAACGAACATATTACTCTTTTGTCTGAGTTATTTATGTTGTTACAGGATGCAGGCCTAAAATTAAACCCGGAAAGAGTTCAGCTGATGAAAAGTCAGGTGAAATGCTTTCACATGCAGATTGGTCAAGGGAAAAGACAATTATTGCTAGAAACAGTCAGAGCACTCACTGCCTTTCCAGTTCCTACAACTCATAAAGCATTGCAACAATTTTTGAAAAACATAAATCATTGCAAAGAGTTTATACATGGTTTCGCAGAGAAAGTTAAGCCATTACATCATCTTTTGAAGAGTAAAAATAACTTAGTTGACCAATGGGGTCCAAATGAGAATAATGCTTTAAAAATGTTGAAAAAGGATTTGCAGAATGCGCCAGCATTAAGTACAGTTGAGGTTTGTTCCAATGCTCCTTTTGTTGTGAAAACTCATGTATCTGATAATGCAATTTCAGTAACTTTGTCTCAATCAAAAGAAGGTAATGATAGACTAATTAGTTACTTCTCCAGAAATTTATCACCATTGGAAAGAACTTTTACATCAGAGGCACAACAACTGTTGAGTTTCTTTTATGCAAACAAAGCTTCACAAAGCACAGTAAAGTC